CACTGACCACATGTATACTGACACATTTCCAAAGATCTTTGGGGCCGAAAGCAGGACATCCTCAGGACGGTCCTAGAACCTCTCAGGACGTGCTATGAACCGTTCGATGGAGTGGTGAGTCCTGTGAAGCGCTCAATACCATTCCATAACACGTCCTGTATTTGCCACCAGGAGGTACAAACCCGAAATCCAAGCCCCAAATTCTGCTGATCAACTGGAATTCCATATTCTTTTATAAGCAGCCAAAGGCACCCGAAGAAGACTCCAAATCACCTGCCAAGTCGTTGCAGCTCTGCAGAGGCCATGCCGCTGTACGAGCTCAGCTTGTGTACGCAGGGTCTCCATCAAAGCGGTCCTCACGAGCGGACGTCGCGCGCGCCGAAGCGTGGAGCTTCTGTTGAAGAATTGGTCTCTTTGATTCTCCAATTCCCCCAAAGAAAGTTTAGATCTACATCTGACTGTACCATGATTGGCCCAGTGGAGTCGTCAGTCTGCTCGCAGTTGTTAGGTCTTCCCTGAGAGCATGCGAAATCGTCTGACCTCTCTGTTTTTTTAGGGTTTGTGTCGAATTCTGAGCCGGAACGCCAGGACTGCTAAAAAGTGAAATGTCGAAGATTTGTTCGGAATCTGAAGAGGCAAAACCCGTCTTGAACAGCTTCAAGAACCGTCCCTTCGACGCCCCGTCTGTTGAGTGTTTTTCACAGGTTTGTGGAGGTCAAAGGTGTTGAAAGCAAATCTCACGGAACTCATTCAGAGTTTGCCAAAAAAAGCTGGTCAACAATCCAATATTATATGTATAATATATAGATAAAACACATACAATTATGTAATTATCTTACCATTACCATCTTACCTCTGTATCTTGCTGCCGAAGCTACAACGCCTAGCAAACATATATCTATATAGAATAATTAGAATATTACAAATATATAATGTAGGCTGCCAGATCACGAATCACTTTAATCCATTGTGCATTTTCCGTCATCCACCTCTCCTCCGGCCCATACCGGCCCATCAAACAGACCCGGCATTCGGAAGTTCAGGCGTCTGGTCACCAGAAAAGCACGGTTTTTTCGGCCTCGCCTGGTGTTCAAACAGGCCAGCAATGACGCTTCCAAGAGGTATATATACAAACTCTAGGAGCCCCCTGGAATTCACATGACTGAGAGGAATGATATGTTCTCTAGCTTCGAAGATCCTTGGACCGATGTACCTCGCCTTCTTCCGAACCGAGGATTGATGCTCCATCGATCCGGCATTTCTTCTGCGGTGTGATATAAGGTCGTCAGAGCTGCGTGGAATCCCTTCGAATCCCTTCTTTTTCCAAATCCACAAGGCAAGGAGGTCGTACATTCAGGCAAATTCGGCCCATGCTGTCTGGGCTCCAGCTGGTGGGAAGATCCTTCTTCGATGTGTCGAGCGGACTGAGGTTATCCCAAAATCCACCTGTTGCAGGATTCCACTTCCTTTGGGATCCGAGTCTTCGGGTCAAGTGACCAGGTTCCAGCGACCCAGAGTGGAGAACCTCCACTCCAAGACACATGGCTGGGGATCTTCAACCAAATGCGACAGCAGAACTCGAAACACTCATTTCTGCGGCTTCGTGGTTTGCTGCGGTGATTTTTTTGGTTGCTTTTTAGGTATTAACATCAAAGGACATCCGGTTGAAAACGACATACATACCCAAGCACACCGTTCTCTGGTTGAATGGGTTTAGCAGCAAACGCGAAAGATTTTCACACAACTATATACAGTAATCTGTGGGAAAACCTCTAAACTGCTCTGGATCCGAGCGATTTTAGAAAACAACCAACGCTCAGGATCGCAGCACCACTGCTGCATGTGATCAAGCTACGCTGTGAGCTTCCGTCGTTCACGGGATGACTGGCGAAAGGCGTCTGGGAAGAAACAACGGAGCAACCAGCACTGAAAGGCAAAGACTGCGAGCGCTCCAAGCAACCAAACGGGGGACATCTCGCTTGCACCCACCAAAAGCCTTGGCTGCCCATGCGGCTGAAAGAGTTGGCTTCAACAATTTCAGAGTCAACAGTCGAGATGCCGGGAGGTAGCAGGTGTGTGGGTATGTTCCAGGTGGGTGTCAGCGGGGGTCAAACTACCTTCGTTCAGGATACTTTTCGCGGATCCCCACTCCCACGTACCTTCTCTCAGCACACGATCCTGGGATCTGAAGCTCAACATGTCTTGGCTCCTCATCTTCCAATTTTGCGTCGCTGTGAACGGTGCAACGAACGAAGAAAGGACACCGGAAGTCTGAGCTCGCTTGGCAGCGCAAAAGACAGCCTGCCTGCCATGAAGGGGGATGACAAGTGATAGTACAAGTGATAGTACTTCGGTTCCTGAAGGTCCAGCTGGAGGAAAGGACCCTTCAGTGTGAGTGAAGGCCGAGACCAGAAGGCCGTTCAAACAGAAGAACACCAAGCACCGCTGCCCTCTGGGCTCTCTGGTGTTTGCTGCTTGAACTATTTTCCAGCAGACATCTGCTTCAGCTTCAGCTGTTGCTGCTCTTACACTCCCTAGAAATCATATATGGAAGTGGGAAATCGAGGAACATGGCCCCTTGGATCAGTTTCCCAAACAGCTGGTGCCATCCACTGGACCTTCAGAAACATGTCAATCCGATGTCAAGGACCCAATGCCCTACGAAGGTGGTCGCCCAGAAACATGCTGGTCTGCGCGGCGGAGAGGACGCCCCAAAAAAGCACCAGCACGAAGGAGGTGCAAAGGAGAGCCATGGGGAACCTCAGAGAGAAGAAGGTATTTCTTGGTAGCGGCGCCGTATAGTTAACATTGCTTTATAGAAATCAAGCAGAAAAGTGCCTTAACCCCCGGCAACCCCCCCCCGGCAGAGTGATTTTGGCTTCAAAAACGCTTGGCAAACCCCCCTGGCAAAGTTTGAGGGACATCCAAAAGTCTTGGCAAACCCCCCTGGCAAAGTTTGAGGGACATCCAAAACCATTGGCAACCCCCCCTGGCAGACTTGGAATGGACTTGCAATAGCCTTACAAGCACCCCTGGCAGAATTTGAGTGGACTTCCAAACCCTGGGCAACCCCTCTGGTAGAATCTGAACTTCAGGTAGACTTGAGGAGGTTAGTAAAACGCTTTGCAAACCCATGGGCACTGCCCTGACAAAGTAATTTGATATCGGGCCTCTAGCCCGAGTCATTTCATTTCTAAAAGGAAGCTGTGGGTGTGCTGTTGGCTTCTTTTGTAGTACGGACTGGGTTTTGAAGAATTGCAGACGGGAATCCGGGAACATTCTTTTGCGTGCGTTGAAGACTGGGTGAATTCCGGATGTTGGTTATTTTTACCGGTGCATTCAGGGCGACCTGGTAACCAGGTTGAACGCGGAGGTTAGGAAATGGAGGGAACGTGTGATTGCGCTGTTGAACTGTTGTGCGTACTTTGCCTGCTGCGCCAGCAGCGCATTTTGCCAACTGCTCAAGTGAGCGCGTCCAGCAGACATCACTCCAAACATGGCCCTCCATCGCCGACCCTTCCATGCAGAGGAGTCAAAGCGGTCACTCGACTCCATGAATGGGGTGCTTCATTGCGCGCAGTTGCGCGGTTATTTCGTTAAGTTATGTTTTAGTTAAGATTCAATTGGCATTTCCTGGCGGGCCATCTCTTACTCCAGTCCTAGCCGAGTCATAGCCTCCAAGTTCTAAGTCTTTAACTAGTCATGAGTCATGAGTCATTTGTATCATGATCGGAGACCTCAGGTCACGTTCACGTTCACCGACCAGATTGTATCAGCGGCTGAGCGCGTTCCAGATCGATCCACCGAACCCTGGTAGAGAATCAAAAAGTGACTGATCATAGTTGCCTAGCTTTTTGCAAACCAGACTCAGACTCATAAAGAATGGAAAGCCTTGGCCTTAACTTAGAGTTTTAGACTTAGAGCCTAGCCTAGAGCCGCCTCTTTTAGGGCTTTGTTGGGGTTGCACTTCTGGCTTCTAGCTCCATGCTCATTATAACCTGAGGAAGGCTTTGAGGTGGGCAGATTTGAACTTCGAGGCCGTTGGGACATCGCCTGCGACCTTTCAGGTTCCATTGCAGGATCCATTGGCATCTTGACTGGGGATTTCAGGGATTCAAATAATTTAACAGTGTGCTCGGGCGGTTTCAAGATTGGTTGCGAATTGTGAGAGTCAGCGTGCTGCTTTCACGTCAGCTGTTTCGCTCAGCAAGGTTGTATCAACAGCCTGCAGCTGTACTGGTGCGCCTATCCATGCGTTGCAGACATTGGTAGGATCCTTGAACATTAGGGAAGCCTGCGCTTCAGAACGACATGCGTCTTGACAGCATGTCGATGCTTCATTTGCTCACAACACGCTGACAACAAGCTCCCCACATTCTCGACAGGCCCCAACGCGTGCTTGGCTGATGAAGAACTTCGACATCGAACGTGTCTATGCAGACATGCGCGAAGAAAGGATGGGATGGTGAGTCAGATCAGACTTATCATAAACTATGCATAGACCGTAGACCCATAGAGTCAGAGTCATAGGCTTAGAGTCTTAGAGTCGAGTCAGAGTCCACTTTTTCTTGGATCTGACCTGCGCATTGGATCTTGCAGGACTGGTGGACATTGCTATGTCAAGCAGGCGCACGTCGGTCTTCTTCCTGCCTTTGGAGAGAAGGCACGCCGTTTGTTGTTCTGCGTGCAGGCATTGTAGTTTGGCTTTGCAGTGTAGTTTTGCTTTGCAGAAAACCACCCAAATTCTGTCGGCAGGGGTGGGAGCAAGAGGACCTGTACGTTTGTGGCTTTACGTGCAAGCTGTTCTCATCCGAAAGCAACATACGATTTGGTCATCCGAACGTGGCTGACATGTTTTGCGAAGACCCAGATCTGAACCCGCACGTTTCTTTGATGACAAATAATGCCAGTGTACAGTGTGTGTACGACAGTGACGAATGATGAACCATGACTCGTGAGTCGGTGTTTTTTCATGTGTTAAAAATCACTACACATGGACCATGGATGATCCAGATGATGGCAGCGTTCCAGGTTGCCAAGATTGTCCCCTTTTTGGAGGCATCACGCCATGTACGCAGGCGGAAACCCAGGCGTGTGAAGTTGAAAGCATGTTTGCCGCGCCTGTCCTAATTTGGTCAAGGTTCCTTAGTTCTCACCCGCTGCTTGCCTGGGCAATTGCCCGTTTGCTTGCAGGGCCTTCATCATGGAGAATGTCAGCGGATGTCTCAAGAGCAAGGTGGCCAACCATTTCGGGGATGGTGACCAGGAGAATTCAGACACTGAATACAAGGCAGGCTTCATGGGTTTCCTTCCATGTTCCTTCCAGTTTGTTGTGTGTCACTTGTCATCCCAAAGATCTCAGATGCGTTGGAAATGCTGCGAACTTAAGAGTTGTTTCGTTTCGTGAATGCGGCTCCAACATACAAGCAGCGACGCCGATGGCGATGGGCATGGGCGCACAGCAACCCACGGTAGGAGGCAGTTTGTTTTCAACTCTACAGATTCTCAGATTCAGATATGAGATATGCAATGACATTATACTTTGACATGTTGTATTTTTGTGATTTTTTTGTGCTAGTAGATAAAGGCTCCCACACGCCATGTCCTTACTTGCTGCAGTACTGCGTCTTGGAGAGGTGTGTTCCCAGGGTGCAGCCCGGCCAGCAAGCCAAAAACATGAGGGTTTGAAACTGGACAGCCTTGGTGCGGGAGAACCGGAGGTCCTCCCCCGCCAATACCGTTCCTGTGGTGCTGCCCATGCAAAGTTTGTGAAACTCGGGATTCAGAAATCGAAGCTGAAGAAGATAGCTGAAGTGACTCAGATTCACCAAGATGAGAGAATCAACCTTGTGCGGGCCGTGTTCGGCCAGTTTCAGCACAAGGCCGCGGCCGGTGGCATTTACAAATCGCAAAATAAGGTCGTCTACACCAATCAGTTTGGCTCTGTGGACTGCTTCGACTTTGTTAGTGATGTTCATAGGTCGCTAGCAAGACAGAAGGCTGTAGGGGTGTGGAGTCACGTTTGCGCGCAAGCAAATTCTTTGCTCACCTGGATGCGTAAAGCACCATCGCGATCCGCTGTTGTGTCAAAGCAGCATCTAGCCGTTTTGTGGAATTTCAATCAAGTTTCGATAGGTAAACGGTATACGGTATACGGTATACGGTTTAGGCGGTATTGCCAATACCGCCAATACCGTATTGGTATAGGCTAGGGTAGGGCAAGTGACAGGCAAGCCTAAGCCTACAAGCAAGTTAACAGCGTGGGTTGCACTGCATCAGGTCATTGTGGTGGCAGATGATACGAGCATTTGGGTCAACCACTCCACGGAGAAGGTTGAGCTTACGGAGGAGGGCAGCATTAGCAAGGAGCAGCAAAGCATGAAGAGAACGTGCCCTTTGTTGGGAATGCTTCAACAACTTGCTGTGAAGAGAAGTGATGGGCGGCGTGAGTGTGTCTCCATCCACTGTCCCTCTCAGACTTTGCCACGTCAAAATGCTGGAACTATCCTCTCACGAATGAGGAAATGGGCGCTATATTCTTCCGCTGGCTGCTCTGAGTTCTTGGGTGGCACCGAATTGCGCCAGTTATTTGAACAAGTTCCACTGAAACTGGTAATTTGGTGTCCGGGGCTTACCTGTTTGAGGGAGAGTTCAGTTGCACCCAAGCCAAACGTTGCACACGAGCTGGACTAGTTTTTTAATTATTCAAAACAGAAGGCGGCGCGTGAAGTGAAATCTAAATCTAAAGCATTGACAGCATTGACGTTTTCAGGTTCAAGTCAAGTTGCGCTGTTGGTTTTGTGGATTGAGGCGGGGACTCTCTACCTGCGAACTTTGTCTGCCAAGCGGAAGAGCTCATGCAATGGAGGCAGCTCATACAAGAGAACGACGCCAATGCAAGAAGCACCTTTCACATTGGCTTCAGCTGCTTGCACCATTCAGCTTGCTTGTCCAAAAAGCCAGCTCTGTTGAGTGTTGATGGAGTCTGTTCCAACTTCGTCCGATTGACCAGAGCAATGAAGTCCACGAGATTTCAGGAAAGGTTCTCTACAGCAGTTGACACATTGGCAAACAAATTGGTTAGGCGGACTGTTCCTTGCGTGCCACCCATGGTCCAAGAATGGTTGGACGAATTCCAGAATTTCCGCTCTATGGCTTTGGCCGGGATTCCTCGGGGGGATCAGTCGGTCTGCCTGCAAATCTTTAACAACATATGGTTTCAAGATGGTGTGGTCAATGATTGCTCCTTTGCACATACTTGGTGCCATTGGTGTGGCCCCGGATGTTGCTCTGATGAGATTGAATTCAGAGCCAGGGCCAAGCAAGCATTGAGAGCATTGCTTCAAGTGTTCCCAGATGTGCCCCTGCTCTATCGCTGGAAGCATTTTGAACCGTGTCTCCAGTATGTGATCCGAGGGTCAATGTGCCATCGAGTGCTCCAATACTGCTTGCTTGCTTGTTCCTCTCCAGACAATCAAGCCAAGCTCGAGGCCCTCGATCAAGACAGCCCAGACTTAAGCTTTTCTGTGAAACAAGAGGTTCGGCTGAGCAAGGCAATTGCAATGCTCACGTCCGAGAATTTCCAGGAGCCTTTCCAAAAAGTGTCGTGTTGCCGGTTGAGTTTAAGCCGAGTTTCAATCTTCAAGGACTTTAGAGTCATTGGCTCACTGATGGTTGTTGCTGTTGTTGTTGACGCCTGAACCCTGCAAGGCCAAGATGGGAATTCTATTTTTGGTATCAGCGCCACTTGCCACCTTTATGGATGAAGTGTCCTTGTGTGAGACAGCCCGAAACCGCTTCATTCTTCTAGAAAAGGGCCTGTCTTTATCTTCGTCCAGGTGTACAGTTTCCGCTGACAAGATTCAGCTCATGAATTGGGAGCTTGTCAGTGGCGCCAAGAGCGCCAACGTGATCTCAGACTATAGTTCCATTCTGACAGCGCCACCAAGCAGTGACATCACCAAGCCGTTTGCGATGAGTCTGGCAGACTACTTCACACCAGTCTTGGCGACCATGTGCGACGCCTACCTCAGGTTGAAGTGCCCTTCCCAGCGATCCCAAGTGCAAATTTTAGGGATTCACTTCATGCCTGTGAATGAGGCTGCTGACAAGCTGCGTGAAATCCAACAGCTGCCAAAATGTTGCAGTGGCGATGCGTGCACACAGGCCCGCCTGTCCCTGCTCAGTTTTGGGAATTAGGAACGGAACGACTCAGAAACTTAGGCAACTCAGGCACTTGGTTAAGTTAAGTTTGTCATGGGTCATGAGTCTTCGGACTTAGTCAGACTTAGTCGGAAGTCGGTAAAGTAAGGTGGACTCAGACGTGACATGGAGACACTACGGGTCAGTCTAGCGGCCTAGTCCAGTCTAGTCCTAGCCAACCACGTCTCTTGAGCCTTGCAGCCTTGCGCAGGTGGCCTTGCGTGTTACTCGATCCGGAAAGGATTGGAAATTGGTGGCAGCTGTCCAGGATCTGTTTGGGGAAGCGCTACTGTTCTTGCCTGCTTCGTCCGTGGGCGTTGAGCGTCTGCATGCAAGCACCCAAGTCAACAGCGTCGCTCTGAAAGCAGGACGGAAGCACGAAGTGATACACCAGAACACTTACATCATGTCGGCTTACTTGGAGCACTCCAAGACGAAATCCACATTGGAAACCGAAATGTTTGGGAAATCAAAGCGCCAGGCAGGCCAGCTTTTATCCCAAAGAATCTTAGATTCTACGTTAACGGGACGGCCTGTGACCAATGGCCATGGCCCTGGCGCTGTTCGGGAAAAAACACAAACAATTGAGCCCCTCGGCATTGTTGTAGACACATGGTTTGTTGAGAGGCTTTACTTTTACTTTTGTATTGTATCATATTTTTCTGTGGGAGATGCATGGGGGTGAACAATTTGGGACTGTGACAAAACAAGGTCTTTGTGTGGATATGAAAGCGCGATGAAGCCACTGAAGAAGAAAAGGCGGATATGTGGCCTCAATGTTTTTGTGCAGAAGCAGCTGCGAGGATGCGGGGTGAGAGTTGGATCAGCAGAGTGGCGTGAGAAACTCAAGACGGCTCACAACATCTGGAACTCCATGAGTCCCGAAGACAGGGCTCCCTTTGATGTTGCAGCAGGTGATCAACAGGAGGCATCTTCTTGCTTGGCCAAGACCCCGCTGTCACAGGATGTGAGTTCAATCGCAGGCAGTTCGATCTTGTGCCTCATCATTACTCTTACAGTACGATTTGACGATTTACGATCGAACCGAATCGTAGTACTGTACTACTTCTTGGCTGGTCCGGTCTACTTCATGTGACTTTCTTTTGTTTTGGTTGTCAGAGTCATAGTCATAGTCATAGTCCTCCTAAACCAACGCCCACTTTGTTGGGGCACAGAGGCTTGTTCCCCACGAGCAATTCAGGTCACAAAAGCAGCAGCAACGTCGTGGACAGCAGCGACTTGACAAGTCGCTGGACGCTATGGGAGAGCATCCATGTTGGGCAAGCGGTCTGGGCATCTCTTCGTGTGTGGCCGCTTTGCGGCCAGACCTTGTGCAGCCTGTGGACCACGAGACAGCCGCTTCCAAGTTGAAGCCTGGGTTTGGGTACGACAAGGACCCAACACCAAACAAAGAGAATGTCACCCCTCTGTTTAGATCCTGCGTGGAGCTACACCCCGGTGTTTGTCGAAGTGATGCCCTTTTCGAGAAGGTTGTCTTCATGGTGCACCAAATGAAGGCACACTTCGATGTCAATGACATCTCTGTTCCGGCATTGTTTCAGGTGGAAGCCTGTACTCCAACTTCAAATGCTTTGCAGCCACTAGCTTCCCGCACCAAAAACTGGTATATGCTGGGCAGCATTCGAAAGCGTCCAGTTTGCCACATATTGGCCAAGTACATTCCACTTCAATCCGTTCCGAATTCTGTGGCTCCCGAACTTGATCCATCCAGTGGCAGCTTTAGACTAGTCAGTTCTTATGAGATCACACTGTCCTGCCTCGAGCTTGCGAAGCGAGAGACGGAGGATTGGGAGAACATGCAAGTCAGACTGCGCAGGCTAGATTTCAATATTGTGGAGGGCTGCAAAGTTCCGAACCACATTGTTGTGACAGGGGAGGGGGAATGTTTTTGCATTGGCCCCAATTTGGAGGTTCCGACAGCCACCAAGCGCAAACCAGCTCCAACCAAAATGCGGTTTGGTTTGACGACAAGCAGGAAGGATCAGGGCTGCAAAAGAAAGCGGACCGAGCCATCTAAGTCGAAAAATACTGCTGCTGCTGACCTTGATCTTCCTGACTTTGGCTTTGGCCTCTACGGAGATGGATCTGGTGACAACGCTGACGGCAACAATGATGATGATGATCAAGACATCATCAACCGTGTCATCGGCAAAAAGGAAGTAGTGGAGGAGGCCTACGATGATGCCTTCCCAGCTAAATTGAATCTGATGCAGTTCAAGGAGCTCAAGAAGGCGGTTGAAGCATGCCGCGGAGCGGAACAAGATGATCAAGATGTGGAGGAGGAAGATCGGAGTGGTTCAACTTCAAGTTCCAAATCGAGCAGAAGGCGGACCCAAAACTCTTCAAGGGCCGAGAGCAACATTCTTGCCTCCTCTTCAAAGGCCGAGTGCCAACAGAGTGGTCCTGAGGAGGACTCGCAGACTCAGCCCCAGGTTCGTGGAGTGCATTTCAACAAAAGATGTGGGATTTTGTCAATGAACGTGGTGAAGCGAAAGTCGACCTGCTTCTTGTGCAAGCAGAATCTTGGGAAAGGCGAGACTCGCTTTCAAATTTCAACGAGTCTCAAGAGACCAGAGCAGTCAGCTCACCCTGGCTGCGTTTCTCAGATCCCCCCATTCATTTATCAGCCTTCCATGGAATGGATTGAATCGGAGTTGCAAAGACCAGGGTTGACCACAGAGGAATTCAGAATATTGCAGGAGGCTGGCTACAGTCTGCGCTGCATGATGAATGCGTGCGCTGCATGCGAGTGAGGTAGAGTCGGAGCCCAGTGTCTTTTGTTGCTATTGTGCCATTAGCCCTTCAGCAGGCCGTTCATCTAGATTAACTTAGGACTCCAGGACTCCATGCGCATTCGGCATTCAAGTTTTTGGGGTGCTGTGTTCAAGGCTCCGTGCTCTTTCCTAGGAAGCTAAGATCGAAGAAGCCGCGCGGGTCAATTCGCGGAGATGAAATAGCTTGCGCGTCCCACGTATTTCTTTCAATTCACCAAGTTGTTACATTATGTAGTACGCTGGTGCAGTCAGCAAAGATCAGACATGGGTCACCGGGATACAGTATCAGGTGTAAGTTTGATGTCGTGAGTCGTGAGGCGCCCATTGATTTCCTTCTCCGTGGGAAACTGTCCTCTGGGGAAGAGGTTGGTCTGGAACTGCTGCCGGACTATGCTGTGCGAACTTTGGTCCTGCGGTCTTCTGTCTTGGTTTGGCATGTCATATGAGCATTTCTGGAATCAAGGAATCTCAGGAATTTGGAGGCTGCTGAATTCTTTTATTCCGATTCTGCATTTGAGGTCGAAAGATTTTGGATTACCAATGGTGAGATGCCGATTGTACTTTGTCGGGATCCTTCAGACAAATGGAAACGATGAAGCGACTTTGGACCCTTGCTTCGTTTAGTGGAGTGAGTTTGTTGCGTAAACACCGATGCCGATGCCGATATGATATGATATTGTCATTGTTGAATTTACAAATGTTGAGCACTGCATTCCAGGATAGCATTTGCCATCTCATGACCTCGGAGTTTCCAGCCCATTTTTGGGATGAGAAGCCAGCCAATGTGAGCGATTTCGTTCGTTGGGTGAGCACTTTGACCACAGACTTTCCGGATCAGGAGTGTATACTTTCGATACACTGTCACACACGGTCGCTAAGTTTAGGCTACAGACAAAGGATAATAAATTATGACTCCGCGCAGTATGCCCAGTCCCTCAGCTAACTATACGCTAAGGTGACGTCATTTTCCTGTTCCACTCCTGTTGCACTTCTGTTGCACTCCTGTTGCACTCCTGTTGCACTCCTGTTGCACTCCTGTTGTGCTTCCGCCCCCCTCAGCTAACTATACGCTAAGGTGACGTCATTTCCCTGTTCCACTCCTGTTGCACTCCTGTTGCACTTCTGTTGCACTCCTGTTGCACTTCTGTTGCACTCCTGTTGCACTCCTGTTGCACTTCTGTTGCACTTCCGCCCCTCGCCCCCGCCCCGGCCCCGGCCCCCCCTCCAGCCCCCTCTCGCATCCTCTCCCCATCCTTCCCTCCCACCTCTCCCGCCAGTTCTTGTGGCGGGCAATTTCAGATTTTGAACGAAATTGTTCAATAAAATCTTGAATTTTAAGAAATGGCCTCAATTCCCTTTTAAACCTCAAGGAAAGGCAGGAACTGAAGGAATTAGACCAGGAAAATCACTAAGAATTAAAAATTAACTAGCTACTTTTGGTTCACTTTTTCTCCTCTCCCCCTGTCTCTGTGTCTCTTCCCTTAACGGGAGACTGAATCCTGGCAGCTTGGAGTCTTCGAGCCCCCCTGTTGCGATGTTTGGGAGCGGTGGAGCGGTGAGAGACCCCGGTGTTTGGCCGAGAGACTCTCGGCACCCGGGTCCCCGAAACACTCATCACTCCTTCCCGATCCACCGGGACCCGGGGGCCCACAGTAGAAAAAAGTGAACCAAAAGTAGCTAGTTAATTTTTAATTCTTAGTGATTTTCCTGGTCTAATTCCTTCAGTTCCTGCCTTTCCTTGATGTTTGAAGAGGTTTGAGGCCATTTCTTAAAATTTAGGATTTTTAGGAAAATTTGTGAAAAATCAATATTTTTGGCTATGTTCCTGGTCCAATTCCTTCAGTTCCTGCCTTCCCTTGAGGTTTAAAAGGGAATTGAGGCCATTTCTTAAAATTCAAGATTTTATTGAACAATTTCGTTCAATTTCTTGGATTGATGTTTAGCGTCTGTTTCAGAGAATTTGTGAAATATGAAAACCAGTGAATTCGAATTCAGAGACTTGAAGCCAAGGCCACCGGTCCGGTGCCCCGAGCATGAGCGTGCTCCTCCCCCTCTGCTTGAGCTGCTTTCCATCTGCCTCCGCTTCCCACTTCGCCCGCTAGGAACTGAATTCATGATTTTAAGATTTTCGTGAAACAAAAAATATCTGTCGAAATTTAGCTAAGGAAATTTGATGAAATTTGTTAACCTCCTCACCTCCTGTGTCCTTGTTTCTTTCTGCGCTTTCTTGATTGACTTCTAGTCTGGGAGACAAAGCAAACAAACATCCTGGCATCCTTCAGTTATGCGGCGGCGTTTCAGGTGTTTTGCTTTCAGATTTCAGTCAGTGCAACTACTTTGCAGCATTTTGAAGGTCTCGATAGTTCTGCCAGTTGTCGCGTGATTGTTCTTGGTCTTGCCTTGACATCATGACCTCCGGAGCATCCCACCCGACGACATGTGAACAGTGTGAGCAACTGTTTGGAGCAGTGGACCGGTACCTTCCAGGGCAAGAAGTCATTGTCCGCAGCTGCCGCTACACGAAGAACCCTCAGACAGGCCAGCGTGATGTGCCTGCAATGGCGGAGTGCTACCCATGCGAGGCAGGGTTGGATCAATTTGCATATTATAGTCGTTCTTATATTACGATGACGATGTAACGATGTATGTAAGTTCGTGTGCTAGAAGAAAGCCAAACAGTCCCAGCCCCAGCTGCTGATCATCTTTTGATCCAAGTTTTTGGAGCTCGAGATGGGGGCTGTTTCTCACTTCTCTTCTCTTCTCACTTAATCAGCTCACCTGCCTTGCAGAAAACTCGATCCAACACTTTTGGACGAATGTCTCGGGCTGGGCTCAAGAAGATGCGCGCCGAACAGCCTGAACCTTGAATTATTTAATCAAAGTCGTCGTGGTCATGCTGAGTCGTCGTGGTCATGCTATTTCGATTTCATATCATATCATCGTACAAAATACTTTCCTGTGTGCTGCAGCACTGACTCCTGACAATTTTGATTTTGGTTTCTTAGGAGGTCAACGAGCGGTTCGAAGAGAGACGTGCTGAGAATGCCACTGGAAGGCGCGTTACTACCTCTCAGTTTGAGATCACAGCCAAAGAAAAACAGGAGAACTACGCGGATGTTTTTGAAGAATACACTTGGTATCCTCTGGTGGCTTACGTTTGCAAAGTGGGCGGCTCCTTGATTGAGTTCGACACGCCAGAGAAGCAGTTGGACTTTGTGACGAACATCTGCCAACAGAAGGTTGTCTACCACAACAAGCATCCTGGAGTCAACGTGCTAGATCACGATGATGGTCGGAAGAAGGTGAGGATGGGAGTGAGGACATCAGCAGAGAAGGAGCAGGACAGCGGGGCGGGTAGAATTGCTGAGACAGACTCGAAAGACTCACTGACTGTAAGTCACAAAGTAAGTAGGTCGGCCCACAGTTGCGGTACTGGACATCTCATCTCATTCACTGACTCATTCATTAATTCATTCATTCATGAGTCACGAGTCACGAGTCTATGAAAATGCATGGCTCTTTGCTGCATGGCGTGTTCATGTTTGGAGATTTCCTGAGGAAGACCTTGGCACGCGTGGAGATGCAGAAGCCGCTGAGGAAGTCCTTCAGGAGTTCAAGGACAAGCTGTCGCGCAGCGTTTCGGGTGCAAAATCCATTGAGGAAGCCGTTAAGAATGTGAAGAAGTGGGCCGACAGCGAGGCCGAGTCAGAGAAGGAGGAAGCTCCCACCCCGTCGAACCCCCTCGTGGAGGACATCAGCAAAAAGGGGTTGACGTTTGACATCTTCGACCAAGCCCCACAGCAGCCAAGTGGGTCTGCTCGGAAGCGCGGACCACAGCTACCAGGCTCTCCCATCAAACGGGCAGACGGGTTATCCGGGCTCTCCGGCTCTCCGCAGGGGAATCCACGACCTCGGCAGATTCCTCGCCGAACTGTTCCAGTTCCCGAGAGGCGCAAGGAAAAGGAACCAGAACAGAACTCTGATCCTAAAGCACTTACAAAGAAGGAATCAGAGAGTTTGATGAAGGCATATGATGCATTTGCAAAAATGAAGGGTGCTTTGTCTCCAGACCAAATCTGGAATTCCAAACTTCGGAAACGTCAAATCGATGCCGGTGTCAAGACAATGAACGGCCATGTCAGCAGCTTGGTGACCATTTTGGACAAGTCCAGTGAGGCGAGTGAGCTCACGAGTCTCATCAACAAGTGGACAGACGATGTGGTAAAGCAGTTCACTCTCCTCCAAGCAATTCGGTCGAGCCCCTTTAGCGTGGTCGACACGAAGTTGGAAGCTGGTGACATGGAATTGCTGCTGTCGCTCAGTATGCCCCTTCTCAACAATTTGATCATGCACGTGGCTGGGGAAGCTGCTCGCGGGCTCGATCAGGACTGGTGTGTGGAGATCTGAGATGTCTGTCAGATGTCTAGTCTACACTGGGCTAAACTGTGGCTGCAAATCTAGTTTTTCCTCTGACTCCCCAATCTGTTTCAATGCTTAGTTTGTAAGATTGTTGAAGCCTTCAATTTCTGTAATTCAATTCCCTGGACCGTTCAGAAATTCAGGATGGCAAGCAAGCTGACTCTGTCAAGAGGCTGTTTGCTCTTGCAAGTTGTGCGAACACGGGCACTCTGAATGTGAACGTCATTCGATTGAAAGCCAGTAGGCAGTGTATCCCAGATGCAAAGGAAGAGTTGGGGTCATCGGTCGCCAACAATCTGCAAATGCAGATGGCTCATACCTACCAAATCCTCAGGCTGCAATTTCAGGCCGAGGCCATTCAGGCAGCTAATCTGCCCGCAGGCAGTTTTTGTGCCCGAGCTTGTTTTTCTGCCCGAGGGCATTTTGCTTGGTTTTGAAAGAAAGCTTCAAAAGATGTCAGAACACCTTGTTTCAGAACACTTTAACCATAGCATGTGGAGAGGACTTTAGCATCACATGAAGCCCACAAGCCCCAGCAAAAAGCTTTCCTTTTCTCGGGCAATGGCCATGCGTCATGGTCTCAACGGCTCGGATCCTCAGCCATCTAAGATCGGTGTCTATGGCGCACTATGGTCTCAAGTTGGCATAGGAAGCACACTTCAATGAAGACTTTTCCAGACACCGACACATCCACAATTGTAAAGTGACCGAAGTTCTGAAGAGTGGAAGGGAGAGAGAAGATGGTACATCTCAAAGACTTGTACGCCTCCGCTTTGTAGGTTGTTTAACCTTTTGGCGCCACTTCCTCTTCACAAGGGCTGCAACCTTTAAGAAGTACCTCTCACACACATGTTTATCACAGTGCCGGAAGCCCACTCTTCTACTCAGCCGCGATATCCTTCCTATAAAGTCCTCGTTAGTGTCGCAGGCTGTCATTTGAGGACTCGCAATCAAAGTAGCCCCCCTCTCCAATGCTCTCCGCACAGTCCACGCCAAGTGGTGAATGGCGTGGCACTTTGGTTTCAACATAAATGCACGTATGCTCAGACGCAAGACTTCTTTACCCAGCCAAGAGTAGGATCGCAAAAGCGTCATACAGTGCACGTAAAACAGCCTAGCGCAAGACCGAGGAAGCCAAAGGCCATGATGGTTCAAGAGCCGGAGGCCCAAGGCAGCTTGACAAAGCTGAACACCGACTCTGAGGATCTCGTCATACCCAATGACAGTAGGAGTACGAAGTTGTAACGTCAGTTCAAAAAGACACCACTGAAGGAGCAGCGTTGTGTCAGATCCTTTAGAGTTGGTCCAGGGTGCTGAAGTGCGGTCTTTGATGTTAAAGTAGCTGGTTGAAAAAGAACGCAGGCCTGCACTTTTCTTGTTGGAGAGGCACCACAGTTTGAAGCGCCCATGTGCACGAGTCAAGCGGTCATCAATATTTCTTGTTGAGCCTTCATAGTCCATGAATCCCAACCGGACCAAGACAATCACAATGCCTCCGACAATATCTCTGCCGATGCCTGTTTTGAGACTGTGAAAAAGGTCAGGAGCAATAAGTTGTTCCGGACTCCCAATGTCATAGGGGACAGTAGACAACGCGGGCTCATCCAGTGCATCCCAAGGCCTGTCTCCATGGAGCGTTGCTAACCATGCCGGTTGCTCAGTGAAATCCTCGAATGGTAAGTCAGCACTGGACCCTGCAAGACACAATGGACAAAACCCAATATGATTGACAGTCCCCAGGTGCCTGAAGCTACGCCGTAAATGCATTGCACGTTCTTGAAAGTCTTGGTCCCCTTTCAATCCTATCAATGCCGCATACACTTGCTTGCCGGACTTCAATTGCACACCTTGATGAAAGAGAGTGTTCATGTTCTCTGAAAATTTCTCCAACAAACGCCGGATGAGGGAGGGACGCTTCTTGTAGAGCCATCCTCCAATTCCGAAGATAAGATACTTTGACAAGTAGGAATGACCCTTGAAGTTTGTGATTTGTTTCTCAGCAATGGCCAGCTCTTCTGCGGTTAGTGTTCCTGAATCGTTGCCATAGGGCGGAATGTTGGCCCGGAAGGACAAGTCATCACAGCAAGAACAATATAGACCAGCATCTTGTGTTGATCCCAAAGGCGACTCCACTGAAAGCACATAATAGTTTGTTTTTTTGACTGCTCGTCCTTCGTCTCCGTGGCATAGTAAAGGCACCACTTGGTCCAAGTGGCCAGAATGAAACCGAAACACTTCATGCGTGGGATGGTTCTGCTGAAAAACTTTCCAGAAGATTCTCAGGTTTGAGGAAGGATCCCCTTCCCCACAAAGCAGCTTTGGGTAGGTGTCCATCCAATGTTTTACCCAATCCTGTGGTTGGAGGTAGCAAGTGGGGATTGTTTGTCCATCCTCCGCGCATTCGTGAACCATGTCCTGCACAGGAATGGGGAGTGTAAATCCATACTTCCCCCAAAGACGCCGCAAGTCTCGCTCAGCATTGTTCTGAACGTCCAAGGCTTCCGGTCTACCCTCCAGAGCAGCGATCGATCGCTTCGCTGACACAGCAGTGGCCTCAGAACCACAAAGGGATGCTTTTCCCTACAGTACAATAATGAAACCAAGGACCAGACCCCATCACCCATGCTTTCTGCAACGTGTTCCAAAAAAGTTGTTGGAACGCTGCTGGTGGAGGTCCCTGGCAAAAAAACATAAGAAGCCTCAAGCATTATCCAGTACGCTGTGCAAGAATGACAGTGACAAATTTTCCTTTCAGAGCACAGCTGCCTCTTGAATTAGGCGGCACTGCAGTATGCTGGTTGAAAAACCAGCTTCCGAGTACTGGCCAGACAGGACCTAAGAAATCCCACTCTGGTCGTAAATTAGGGCCGTTGTTAAAGCACGCACTTGATAACAATGGGACATCATGGTTTCCAGTTGAAACATACTTTGAGGGAACAGCACAACAAAAAGAACTCAACTTTCTTGTTGCTTCCCACGTGCACGCTTCCGTGGGGGAAGGGTGACTTCGGAAACATGGGCTGGCTTTCGCTTTGGGGCCGTCTTCGCCTTCGCTGAGGCTGATTTGCCTGTGCGGCTGCCTTTGGCATCCTGGTCAGGCTCAGGGGTCCTGGTCTTTGATCTCGACCTGGCCGTTGGTAGGAAATTGACTCTATTCAGGTAGACCCAGGTAGACCCCTCAATGTCATGTATCCCAGACAGCCTGGCAAAATGATACACTGACATAGACTCCGCCAACCTTGCCGAGGGAAGGAAACATCATGAATCATAACGGTTTAATGGGGCAGGAAATGCTTAAGATCCTGGCTTTGCCCTTGATGCATCCAGCTCTTTCTGGATCGACCCTTGCAACCTAAGATGGTGCGTGACAGCATTGTTCAGCAAACCCTTGCGGACGTGCGGTTTGAGGGGTGATCATGTCCCACACGCAACGCTGAACGGTCACCGGATCTCGACATGCTTACTTAACCCTGGTTTTGAAAAGGTGTTTCAAGAGATAAGAGTTGGGGCCAAACAACTAAGGTGTATACCAACAGTGAAGGGTCTCAGGGTGATTCCGAATCATAAGAAAATTTGGCATTGATGATGGTGTGCCAATCATTTCCTGTCCTATCTCCCTCTCTGTTAAAACGTATTCGAATTTTGGAGAAGAAAGCCAACCTGAGAAGCTGCAAAACGAAAGCCAGCGCTTCCCTTTCTCGACAACTGCGCGTCGAAGCAAGCAAATGAGCTCGCGCAGCTGCTTGCGGCCGCGTGTCAAATCTGCTTCATGTCTT